CAATCTCGAGGAATCCTTCCAAGATTAGGTTTTGTTTCTGTTGATAAACCACTACTGCTGGCTTTGTACCAAGTAGAATATAAAGTAGCCAAATCCAAAAAGCCCCATACAATTACAGAAGAGCTGATCAACAGCTGTTCTGGACCAAGAAGCAAGAAAAACAATTGAATTAGTTCCACTATCAAATAATGTTATTCACAATCAAATTGGTGATTTGAGTGATGATATTTTAGTTATCTCAGATGTCAGGTCTAGTTCTTTGAAAATCTCTCTCCAGTTGGATGAATCAACTGATATATCAAACTGCAGTCAACTCATTGCATTGGTTAGGTATTTTAGTGATGGTATTGTGAAAGACTTCTTTGCTAAACATGATTCAGATATCCAAACTATTGGTTCCGTGTACACTGACGATGCTCCTGTGATGATAGGGAATAAATCTGGATTTTCTGCACTGCACAGCTGCTTGAGGTTTCCTATAGCCCCACTGAACTTAAATAATATCAATTCAGGTTTGCTATGGTAAAAATTTTCTATCCCAAGTAAAAATCATCACAAAAATGGCAAAAGTCATTTTGTCAGCTTATTTTCTCTGAAAAAATGGATTTTCATACTTTTATAGGAGTAAAATATTGAAAAATGACTGTTTTATCATCATCTAAACAAATATCAATAAAATCTTTTGATCTGAACCCCATGAAACTAGGTATTTTCTGAAAGCAAAGGATATATTCTTTCATTTAAAAGTAAAATTGGCTGGTGTAAATGACTCAAAATTTTTTTTCAGGGGGTAAAATGTGAAAAAATGGTGAAAATGTTGCATTTTTTCTAGTTCTAAACAAAAATTTTCCCCATTAATGAGAAATTAACCATTTCTTTTGGAAAATCAGAAAGCCTAAATCATAATCAAACTATTTCAGGCATAAAATTGAGAGTTTTGAAGGAAATCAACATTTCTAGGGGGTCAAAATGCAATTATATAACTGCCAGGGGTTAAAAAAAATTGACACCCAGCCACGGAAATCTTTAGTAAAAAGCGAAAGATTTATCTGCAATTCCTGACCACCAGAAACCAAAAGTAAAATTAAGCCAAATTGACTTTGACATGTCTAGGTCAAAGGCCAGCCAGCCAGCAATAGACGTTTAGAACAAGTTGTCATCAGCTTGTAATAAAACCTACTACTCCCAGATAAGAGCAAAGAGTGAAAAAAAAGGGGTCAACATTGGTAAGGCTTGATATAAGTTTTTTTTTTTCTTTTCAAACCTATGTTTGAACAATGGCTTGATGTGTTTTGTTTTTAACACCCCATGACCTGGTGATGACAACAACACTTAGCAGACGACATTATTTTTTTTCACCGCATGTCTTTCATATTTCCCATCACCACGCCATTTAGCCGTTCCTTTTATTCAATGATGTTCATGCCAAATTAAGGAGAAAGGGATGAAGTTTGAATGATATTATTTTGAAGTGAAAATAAATATTTTTTCATTTAAAAAAAAAAAAAAAAAAAAAAAAGGGAATTTTTCAGAAAATTGGGCATAATTTCTTAATGATAACCACAGAGTGACATTTTCCACAGCCAAATCGATGATTAATTAATAGTGAATAATTCCATGTGCAAACAATAGCCATCTGGATCCTATAATGTCAACTGAAAAGTCCATAAGTTTACTCATTGATCAAAAACTTGTTGTGCATAATTGTGTTTTTCATGGTCAGTCATCCATTATTTCATCTTGATGTTGTCATTTTTGGACAGCCAAGTCATCAAGGATTCAGGAAAACAATTTGGCACAGGTTTGCTTTAAGAACTTTACATTCTATGTGTTTAAAATGTTACTGATGAATGCAATTTTTCACTGAATATTTCATTTATGCACCATGTTGGATTTTCCTATATGACAAAAATAAGCATTTTAAACAGCCATGATGAAAAGGGAGATTCCACACTTGCAAATCACCCACTGTTTCCTTCATCGTCATGCTTTGGCTATGTTTGAAGGCTTGAAATGTTTTTGTGTTTTTTTTTATGACGAGTTTTCTGAAAAGACTTTGGTTAAGATGTCTGCTCCATATTTTTGGTTGGTGATCTTTGTATTATTGTAGAAAAGGTGCTTGATAGGGTTTGGGACAATTTTTCTTGCTATTTTTCATATCATTTCTCATACTTTTTGGGGTTTGGTGCTTGGGTTTACTTGGATATAAAATCACTCCAAGATTTCAGTTTGGATTCTTTGAGAGTTTTTACAAGCTATGGCTCTACCTTTTTTTTTTTGTATTCATCTAAGTTTTTGCTGGTTGGATTTTTTTTCTACCCATTTTCTTAAGTTGGCTCACCATGTTTGTATTGCTTTCTTGCAATCATCATTGACTTTTGGCTTGCTTACTATGTTTTGAGGTGCAGGAGCTTTTTGTTATGTTTTCTTTGGCTATTGAAAGGAGTGTATCGGTAAAATGTGTTAGTTCTTCCTTATGTTTGTTGCTGGTATCTGCAGGCATTTCAGAATTTTGTCAAGTTAGCTTTTTGAACATTCCAGCAGGGTGTTTTATCATTTAGTTTAGGGATTGGGTTTTCCATTATAATTGGGAAGTGATTACTTCCACATGTATCATTATGAGTTGACCAGGCATAATCCATGTATATGCTAATGTCACAGATTGTTAAGTCTTTGTCAGAATATGTTTCTGTTGATGGTTGTAGGTATATACTTATTTTGTAATTTAGAAGGCATAGCTGTCTTTTGATTTAATAACCGGGTATTGAACTCACACTCTTTGGGCCCTGTCACTGGATCTAACCAACGCCTTTATCCACTGTGCCATGTGTCCTTGAGGTTAAGGCAGTGGAGAACTTAAATTAACAAGAGATAACTAACAACTGACATCCATTAAACATGGCAAGTGGAACTAGAACAGTCTACCCCAGTGAGTGAAATAAAGGGTTCAGTTCGACATTCCAACTACCTGAAGAAGGCCAGATCTTACAACGGATGAAATGTTGTGATAAATATGGTGACAAAGATGAGGACAATAGTCTGAATAATGTAAATAATGTACATAATACCTCATCTCAGAAATATAGACAGATACTGACTTTTTTTTTAATTCTTGTATTTTCTTTTGGAGATTTCTACCAAGTTTCTTTCAGAGGGGATTGGTGGGTGGATTGAAGATCTTTCCGATCTTTGTTTTATTAAATCATTTTTGATTGGTGACTTTTAGATAAACTGCAAGGAGGCTCAAGGTTACATTGTTATTTTGGCATTAGTTTAATATATTATTACATTATTCTCATTTCGATTTCAATTATAAAATTTTGGCCTCACATTTGGCTTTAATTGAATTAATCTTCATCAGGTTATAAGATTTCTGATGATTTTCTTGTATATTAATTTTTTTGTGATTTGTGCATAACTTTTTTCTTTCATATATTCCTCCACAATCTTATATGCTTTGGAGAAAGAAATGCTTTTGGTATGTTTTACAGTCATTATTTCTTTCTCTTTCATCCAAGTCTTACATACTCTAACATATGCAGAGTGTTCTTCACCACAATTTGCACATTTGTATATTTCTCTGCATTCAATTGTGATGTGATCTAGGTCCTTTCGTCCACATAATGCTTGACCATAGCATCCATCCTTATGATATCCAAACCTCTGGCATTTGTAACAATGAAGAAGGTTTGGGATGAATGGTTCAATCTTTTCTAAGTTATATCCAATTTTTTATCTCTTTGAGGATAGTTGGTACATTGAATGTCAGAATGTAAGTGTTGGTGTGGATCTTTTTGCTATTCTTTTTAATTGTCACTCTTCTGATATCTGTGACTCCCTGCTTTTTCAGTTAATTTTTTTTAATCTCTTCAATAGTATATAGGGGGAATTCCCTACCGATACAACACACTTCTTTTTTTCCTTTTAATTGTATAATGTAATCATTTTCAGTAGTATTTCCTTATCTACCTCAACCAAAATTGTGCCATTTTTTAAGTTTGTCACATTTTGGGGCTTTAGTCTAGAAGATATGATTTTTTTTTTTTTTAATCAGACAGAGATAATTTTGTGAGTGAGGTTTCATCTAGTGATTTAAAAATTATAAATCTTGGAAATGATCCCCTTCTTTTGTTTTCAAAATCTGTATCCATGTGAGCTCTCTTGGTTGGTTTGTTTTTATCCATCAAAAAAGTTTAATACTTCACCACCCCTGTTCCACATTTCCCTCCAGAGTTCAATTTAATGGCAAATACCAAGAGGGAATCCCATTCACCTGGGAAAGACAGAGCTACAGCAATGGTATACTCATATTTGGAAGAAGGCCATGACTCCTTAACTTCCTTTTGGTTTTGCTACCCAAGAACTAGTGAAATGTCTGAAGTATCTAAGATGCATCATAGTTCTTTCCTTCCAAATGGACTGATCCTACAGCTGCCAGCCTCTAATTCAAATATTTTATATATCTACTTTTGAATGATGACCAATTTTTCTTCCCTTCATTTTGGTTAGTTTAAATTAGGGCTTAATGTGATCAGTAGATTAATTGGAGTGAGACTCTGATCACCTGTCTAGTCCAAGTAAAGGTCAAAGTGGTGTGTTGGGAATCAGAAGTATCTAAACCAGACTCCTGAAGCCCTCAACCACCAGGATCACATTCCTAGACATTAAGGGTGCCACCCACAGTAAATAGGTAGCTTCACTGGAGGAGTTTTACCTGTATGCAGAGAGATGCAGTCTATGTATTCTGAAACCCCAGATGACAGGGTGTTTGAAATAGGTTCTGTATTGATTAGAAAAATATATTGCTGTATATATTTTGGGCACAAATAATAAAAAAAAAACTGGTTATCTAGATGCTAAAATATGATTTTCTAGTTTATTAAAAAATAAATAAATAAATAACTGAAGTAGTACATTTTCATAATTTTAAAATTTATAATGGTGTATGATTTTTGTCAGATTTTTTGATAAAAAATAAAATAAAATTCAGGTCAACTTACTGGCCACACAGCTTGACAAGGTGAGTCAGATGCAAAATATTCTTGCTCCAATTTGAAGAAATTGCTCAGAGTAAGTAATGACATATTCTGGAAAAATTAAATAGTGAAACAACTTTTTCAATGTTAGAAAAATAATTATTCTTAGGAATTAATATAATTAGTAATTTTAATAGCCTTTTTTTATGAACATTATTATCTAAAACCAGTTGAATTTATATTAATAATCTAACTGTGTTGCATAATCTAAATTTATTTAGTGATAGTACAAAGCAATTTTGAATCAAGTATTTAATCAATATTCATAAATTCAAACTAAAAATAAAGTTATCAGGATACTCATTTTTAAAACCAATTTCATTCCTTTTAAAACATACAATAAGTTTTTATGGTTATTAAAAAATACAAGAAATTTCATGGGATTAAATATTTTGTTTGTAAATATTAAAAAATCTTAAAAAAAAAAAAAAAACTGTCAAAAGAGTTATGTTATTTTTTTGATAAAAGAAATCTAATTTATTTTTCTGAATACATTGCAATGTAATCTTAAAATATTTTAAACCTTTATTAAAATTACATTCTCTCAAAATAGAGAAAAAAGATTTGCATGAAAAGAAAACCATATTGTTTACTGAAAGTACAATGAGAATTCAAAATCATTTTTGCATTTATTTTAAGAAGCTAGAATAATTTTAAAAACATTTTGAGAATGTTTAAAAGATATACTGAGAGACTTTTAATACAAAGAATTATCTTTATATATTAATTACAACGAAACTTCTTAAATAAAAATTTCAATAACGCCTTTCACATGAAACCTTAGATTATTTTTATTGGCAAACTAACTACCAAATTTATATTTTAAACTTTTATTTAATTTTCACATTTAACAATGATTTAAATTTTAAGCCTATGAAAACAAAGTAGATTCAAATAAATTTCAGTTACAAAATATTTCAACTAAAAAGATCAAATATAATTCTTAAATCATAATAAAATCCAAGATTAATCTGGTTTCAGATTGTGGGGAACAACTAGAAAAATAAACTTAGATAAAAAAAAAATCTAAATTCATTAAGGCCAAATAATTTCATCAAAATTGATTATCTTTCTTTTAAAATGATACGGAATATAGTCCTAGGTTGCATAATTTTAGTTAAACATTACTAAATATCTTTGAAAAATTATTTTTCAACGGATGTTTTTTCTTGTTTTTTTTTAACATGTGATGTTATTTTTTCTGTATCTAATCATGTGTGAGTAGAAAACAAAATACTTCATGAGAAAAATCTTATTCTGGCAGTCAACAGGATTCTTATTAAAAAAGATTGGTATATGGGGATGAAGATAGTGAAAGCAATATTTGTCCTGGAATGGTTGACAAGATATTTCACAGATATAACATAAAAATGTCAGTTCCAAGTGATTGATAAAAGGTAAAGCAAAAGAAAACTTGCAGAATTTCTGGGAAGAGGGAATATTATATTATTTACAGTTGGACTAATATCCCAGTCTTTGTTGTTATGAAATTTCAGCCATTGTGTCCTCTTGACTTCTTCAGGTGTCTGTCGATACAGGTAAATTTACAGAAATTTTTAACTTAAAAATATGAGAGAGAAAGAGTTCTCATTTCACTGTCCATATATCGAGATATTTTGTCATTTTTATTGTTAGTCCTGTTCCCACTAAGTCTACTTATATGGCCATGAGATTGAACTCATAATTACTGTGCCATCAAATTCATAAACCAGCACTTTAATCCTGAATCTAGAGCCTTAAAACTAAGTTCTTATTGGTTTGTGAATTTGGTGGCATAGTAATTGTGAGTTCGATCCCTGAGCCAAGTAGTACAGACTCCAGCTTAGTTGAAACAGGATAAATAACAAGTGTAATATAAATAAAACCAACAAGACAAGGTATCCCTAGGCATGGACAACAAAATGAGAATAATGAACCCCTGCTGATTAAATAAAGAGTTCACTTTGAATTTGCTTAAAGGTTACTCAGATCAAAAGATACCTGAAGAAGGCTGGAGGCCACAATGGTTGAAACATTGTGATAATCCCAACTAGTAAATGTTTAAATTATATACATGTAAAGCTCAAAACATAATTGATTCATAAACCAGACTTTAATCTGTCAGATGAGCCACTTCATTTGATAAAAGAAATAAAAGGTTAATGTAAATGATATATGAACAAATGAAAATTGAATAGAACTGATCTTTATCATACATTTGTTTACTTACTACAATGTTCTTTTCATCATGCTGTAAAAAATCCACTAGAGAATGACAAAACTTTTTGTATTTCTCTACCAACCATAATTTATATGTCTTTTCATTATCTGAAATAAAAAAATGAGAGGATAGGCTTAGTGAAAAATAGCAGAAATCAATTCAATACTGCATGTGAAATTTGATTTTTATAAATTTATTTATTGTGCTAAAGAAAAGAAAAGAAAAAAAAGAAAAATACTGATGTAAAAATTGTGCATATGCAGAATCAAAGATATTTGTATTTTGTTTAAATTTGTAAAATGTCCTACAATAACAAAAATGCAATGTTCAATATAAATTTTATAAAAGTGTTTGAAAATTTAATTATTGGATTTCAATAGAACCTTGTGCTGATCTCACCAGTGATTAAATTTATTTATTAAAAGATTCTCGAAGAATAAATTATTTTCTTTATTTTGAATATCCACAACTTCAATTAATTAACTGAATGTGGGCACTTATTTTATATAATACTAAGAAAAAAATATGTTTCCAAAAATAAGTAAAGTACTGTAAAAACAAAATACAAGTATTGATTTGATAGCAACTTTTCAGTTTTATTTATGAGATTATACTTTAGGTTTACAATATATAAAAAAGAAATATCCAAGTTAAAACAGTTGTATAGAAATTTCCAAAGAATCTTTGAGTAATTCATTTGAATATTTCAAATGTTTTTAAATTCTCATTAGGTTTTGTTCAATTCAGTTCCAGAAATAAGATGTTATTCAATAATAATGACTAAAGCAACGATAAAATATTCACTCTAATAATTATCATTGACTTTATTCACTAAGTTGTTTTAATTAAGGCTTATTGAGTTTCTATATATGCTAAATTAAAACAATCTAGTGAACAAAGTCAATGATAATGGAGTGAATATCTTATTTTGGAGTTCTACTGTACTTGAAAATTTTGAATTATACACTTTAATTCTTACTGCTACACATTTCAGCTATCTTGACTACTCATGATTTGTGAATGTCACAAAAATTCTTAACTGCTGTACATTTTCTGTGAGGTTAAATATAATGTTTTTAATTAACAGAACAACAAATAGCAATTTTCACAAAACGACTACACATTTTAGCTACCCCTACGACTCATGGCTTTTATTACACATGGCACAGAAGACAATGATGTTAACACTTTTTTCAGTTTATCTAGTTTAGCATTCAGCTTCTCTTCCAATTTTGATATCTCTATGGACTTGTCCTTTGCTGATCTTCACATAGCCTTGGACTTTGCAGTAAGTGTGAAGTTCTGGGTCTACTCAGCTTTCTCTGCATAGCTGTCAGCTGACTTGATCAAATCTTATGTGCAACTTTCAAGCCTGTGTTTTTGGTCTTTCATTCTTCAATTTCAATAAGCTGCTTCTTCCTGCCTTTTTTCTTCTCAGCCTCCAGGTATTGGTTGTATATTGTTCTGGCATTGGAAGCACTGCAGAAAAGAGCCTTAGTCATGGGAACATTCCCAGCATCGGAATTTGCTGTTTCATATTGCCAGAGGAAATTTCTCTTTACTGAGGCCTGTCCAAGAGAGAGTACCAGCAATCTGCAAACAACTTTCCAGTTTTTGATATTCTTTGTTGCTAAACAAAGAAGAGTAGAACAAAGTGTCCAGATGGTCTTCATGCTTGCTCAAATTCTTGAAAGCAATATTTCCACCAGCCTCCTCTGCAAACTCTTTGTACTGACTGATGATATCATCACAATCAGACGTGCTCATTTATTTCTATCCACCATTTTTAGACTGTCTTCTGTGTCAATTTTTTTTTCCACAAATGGATCCAGGGTTCAGTAAGTGACCTTACAAGAGGTTTCTCAATGATGATGATGAACATTGTCTGTTACAATTCTGCATGCAAACAGATGTTTTGTTGACGCATTTCCTTTTTGAGATAAATTTTGGAGTGCTATTTGCCAGAAATCCACACTTAATCTTTACAGCATCTTTGTGCATGTTTGGCTTTGACAAAATTCTTACAAATTCATTCAGTTTGGAAAATGTAATTATCTTTTTAGTGTGTTCTTGCTTTACAAATCTTAACAGTTTCATGGTCATACTAAAAAGATCATTTGCAAGAAAAGGAAGCAAAGGTTTATTGTTCTGATATTTTATTAGAAACGGTTCAATGTCTTTTGAAACAGACACAAAAATCTGCAGTTTCACTGGAAATAAAATGTCATTCACAATTGACAGTACCACAGAAGAGGACTTGGTCTGGGGACATTTTTCTGTTTTTTTAATTAAGTTTGCAAATTTGATGACATCTGGACAAATTTCTAGGAATCATTCACAGGTTTTTACATTTTCTAACCATCCATAGCTACAAAACTGTTTGAAAAACTTCTTTTCCCCATCTTTACTGAATATGGAAACATGAGTAACAGTTTCAGTTTTGTTGTGATGTAGGCTCTGGCAAGACACAACACTTAACTCGACAGAGTCAGTCATGATAGTAGTATTTAATACTCAGCTAGATAAGTCACTGCAATAGTATTATTTTCTTCCTTTGACAATCACCCAGGACTACTTTTCATGAATAGATCAGTCTATTCACGATAGTAAGAAGAACTGGCTCTTACCACTTCTGTAGTCAGTCTTTACTAGAGCATGTGGTTTCTGGAGCTGTTTGGGGCATAGATACCTCTGAAAAAATACAGAGCCACCAACGGCTCCCCCCTCTTGGATGCTCTGTTCATCCATGTACCTTTTTCTTATTTGATTTAGATGTCTTTTATGTATTCATGTAAACCCTTTTATCATGTACAATAACTTCCCAATATGTCTCAACTACCTCATTTTCCCAGCATTCCTTTCCATTTTTGTAAGTTTAAAAGAATACTTTTTTGCTGGGTTTGAAATATTTTTGGGTATCAGATTTTTTCTTCTTTTTTGGCAGAAGTTCGTCAAACACTGATCTAATTTTCCTTGTGAACATTAGTTCTGCCAGGGTAATACCTGATACCATGTTAGGATTAGGTGTTACCAGATATAAAAGTTAAAACTGCTGTAATAACATATCCTTAGTTTCACCTCTATTGGTTTTTGTTAGTGCCATTTGAATGTATTGACGAAGCATTCTACTTGCACGTTCAATCTTGGATGGTGTGCGTGTGTGTGTGTGGGGGGGGTGAATATGTTGTATTGCAAAGGTTTTACAAAAACTTTCAATCTCTTTAGTAGTGGATTGCATGGTGTTGTCTGAAACAATGGTATCCAGGATATTGTATCTAGCAAATAATTCATGCAAGAAGTTTACTAAAATTCTAGAAGTTGGACTTTTGTATTTTAAAATTTTTGGCCATTTGGAAAAACTGCTGATAATGATTAGTTACTAGACACCATTTATCGGTCTCACAAAATTGATGTGTAATCTCGACCACAGTGTGTGTCTTTGGTCAAGAGTGGCATTTAACTGGTGGTGATTTTGCTGCTTTGGTACAACCTCCGCTTTTACCAATCTCTCTATATCTTTGTCAATATTGGGCCAGTAGACATAGCTGCACATGAGGGATTTCATTCTAGAGATACCTGGGTGACCTTTATGAAATTCTTTCAACATCCATTTCTGAAGATTTCATTTTATTTTTCTCCTTCAGTTTCCACCTTACTTGCTTCCTTTTTTTTTTTCTCTAATAAAAGAATCCATTGGAGTTTTTATTTTAATTTCATCCAGCATCGTATGGTATTGCAGAGAACCTTTTTAATTTCATTTTCAGCTCCTTTTTTGCTACAATTACCATAAAGGTTCACATATTTTAAGTATGAGTCTTAACAAACCATCTGCATGACTTTTTTGTGTTTTTGATGGCAGGATTCACTGTTAAATTTGTAATTTAACAGAATTTTTCCCCATCAGTGTAGTCGATTCACTGTACATGTCAGGATACCCCTTTTCAAACCTAAAAATAGAGAACAATGGACAGTGGTATATCGGTAGAGTGAACCTTCTACTGTGGATGAATTTGTGAAATTTTTTCACAGAAAAAATTATTCCCAACATCCCTTTTTTTCTATCTGACTATAATTCTTCTCAACTAATAAATGTTCTTGACTCATGTGTGTTATTGCTTTTACAGAATCATCTTTGTGCTTATGCAAAATTACAATACCAATGCTGTAGTTCCAAACATTGCTTGCCATGATTATTTTTAATTTTAGATCAAAATGTGAGAGAAACAAGAATCTTTTTATTTTTTTTCAAATGCTTTTTGGAATTTGTCCATCTAATTCCACATGGAGCCTTTTTTTTTTTTTTAGCAAATTATTTAATGGCAGTCGCAAAAAAAAAAAATGTTCAGAATAAAAACGTAATTCATTAAACCTAAAAATACTTATAAAGATGACACATTGATTAGGAGGAGCTTATTTTTTTTAATTGCACTTGCTCTGGTTGGATCTGGTTTCCTACTGCTTTCAATGATTTGACCCAAATATTTAATTTTCATCATGAAAAATTTGCATTTCTCATCACTCAATTTAAACCCATATATGTTTATTTTTCTGAATATCTCATTTACGTGCTGAATATACTGCTCTTGATTTTCACTATTTGTTAAAATGTCATTTAAGTAGGCAATCACAAAGTTTAGATTTCTCAACACTGTGTCCATTACTTGCTGAAAAATTTCAGGTTCTACCTTAATTCTGAAAGCTAATCTATTAAGCTTGTATAATTCCATGTCGGTATTGATTGTTACCAGTTTTGAACATTTTTAGTCAACCTGGATTTGCAAATATGCGTCTAACAAGTTCAACTTTAAAAAGTACTGTCATTTAATTTTGGGAAAATTTATTCTAAGCTTGGCAGACGGTAATTGTAAGCTTGTAAGTCAATCATTCAGCCCTGTGGAGAAATTGAACTTTTTTTTTTCATGTAGACATATTTTCCAAATGATCTAATTCCTTGTATCCAAAGCTGAAAAAAGTACATTCCTCATTGGTCTAAAAAATGGTACCACATTTTCCTTTAACTGGAACTTGGAATTAGTTTTTGTGCATCTTCCTAACCTTTTAGAAAAAAAACTTCTGGAAATTGATTTTTTTCATTTTTTTAAAGCCT